TGAGTGCTGCAGTGTGACTGTATCTATGGCAGCAGTCTAATAGCCAATAGCAGCACTGCAATCAATGATGTGTGTGTAAGTGAGAGATGTTTAGTTAAAAAGGTTGATACTAGGCTGTTGCACTGTCTTCCCTCACTGTTACCCAGGAACTCACTGGGGTCACAATTTGACAAGAATCAATTGTAAAGGATAGCACTTTTTTTACTCTTCATCTGTCTCTAACCTTTCTCTCGCTCTCTCGCACTCAGAGGGTTCAGAGACGGTGAAGAGGGAGACCGTTGTCTCTGGTCAGACAGTGGTCAGTAGCTCTGTGCCCATCGCTCGTTTCTCAGAGGAAGAGAAGAAGGTGTCCATCATAAAAGCGCCCCATTACGAAGGCATTGGACCAGTGGATGAGTCAGGCATTCCCATCGCCATCCGAACGGTGAGTGATATCCAGACATTTTTAAGGGAACTGACAAAAATGACAAATTAAAAACAACTACACTTTAAAAAAGATTGTCCTTATTCCTTAATAAAATAAAGATTATTGAAGTAAGTTTTACAAGTAAATACTAGTCTTTCTACTTAAAAATGGCATATTCAATGTGTTTCTTGCTGTTTCTTTGTTATTATTTGTGAATTTTACAAGCAAATTTGGAGTGAAAATTATTACAAAGTAAATACTACACCATTTTTCAGTGTGTTTTGCTCCTTTAAATTTATTTCACCTATGTTTCACTGTTGCAAATTTGAGTTCATTATATATACACTAAAATGTATACACAGTTTTGTCATTAATGCATTAAAGTATTTAGGGATTTTTTTTTGTCTTTAAAGTTATGACTGATATATTTACAGAAGTAATTTGTCTGCCCATAACTGCATGTGATACAATCAGTAGACGTTAACTATTTATTATAAATTTTTTGGTTGGCATTTAGTCCAACAGCACTGAGACTTTTAATTGTTTCACATTCAGACAAACTGCCAGTCTGCAAGTTACATCCTTATGTGTATGTTGCAGCAAAGGATTGTCTTTAGGAATGAGTCACTGAATCATTTATTCAACCGATTCGTTCAAAACACTGATTCATTTAGGAAAGAGACAGCTGCTTGTTGCTTGGAGTGGTTTTGACATCATTTGGAAATATTTTTGTTGGCAAAATGTTACTCAATAATAATTCCATGTATTGAACTGTTTATATAAATGTACTACCAATGAGTTGATAGTGCTATACAACATGAAGGCACAGAAATAGAAACAAAAAAAAAATATTGACAGAATATTCTGCTGCTTATCGCGCTTGTGACTGGTTAATACAAAAACTGAGATTTACATGATGTTTTATTACCTGTTGCTTTATCAAAACAAAACCAAGCACTCTTTCTTTCTTTCTGAATGATTTTAAACAGCACAACATCTGTTCACTGTCACTGGTCAGTTTAAAACAACAGATCAGCTGTTAATGATCTGTTTTGAGGGCATTTTTTCTTGATTTGTGTTTAAGTTGTTTTGACATTTGATCCTCTTATTGTGGTTAGAGGAATGCTTCTGAGCTCTCAGCAGGTCAGACTGTCTGTGAATGTGTGTGTTTGTGAGAAGAAGAGAACATTCCTGGCTCTTTCCTGGAAGGTTACTATGATACTCCCTGTCTGTCTCTCTCACTCTGTGCTCTGGTGATTTTGTTGGTTGTCAGGTAATGACAAATGCTGTTAGCTGTTTGTGCGCTTAACCAGCAAACTCACAAGGCAAATCGCATGTGTGTGTGTATGTGTGCTTCTATTTAGACTGTGGACAGACCCAAGGACTGGTACAAGACCATGTTCAAACAGATCCACATGGTTCATAAAGCAGGTGAGTGAGTGGGAGGACACAAAGAACGTATCCTGCAGTATTCATTTCAGATGACACACAAACACACACTGTGTTTGATTTTATTTCCGTTTAATATTGTTTTCACCAGATGATGACTATGCAGACACATATAATGCAACATACGCTGTCATAAACAATGGTAAGTTCTGTGAAAGCTGAAGATCAGCTATTAACTTTCATATCTGCTTAATCCAACACATGTATGTAGTAAAAGTTTTAATCATGTCTGTGTTCCTTTATGTGAGAAGGGTTTTTATGTGTGTGTGTGTGTGTGCGTGTGTGTGTATGTGTATATATATATATATATATATATATATACTGTATATGTACAATGTACAATGTTTTCATCAGTCTTCAGTGTCACATGGTCCTTCAGAATTTCTAATATGCTGATTTATTATCAGTGTTGAAACTGTTGTGCTGTTTGGAACCTGTGATACTTTTATCTTTGATTCTTTGATTAATAAAAAGTTAAAAATAACAGCATTTATTACAAATAGAAATCGTGTCTAACAATATAAGTCTTTACTATAACTTTTTATCCATTTTACACATCCTTGTTGAATAAAACTATTAATTTATTTTAAAAAAGAAAGAAAAAATTGACTAACCCCAAACTTTTGAGTAGGAATGTATATTGTAACAAATCACATTTCTATTTTGAATAAAACATTTTCTTTTTAACTTTTTATTTATCAAAGAATCCTGAAAAAGTATCACAGGTCCCAAAAAATATTAAACAGCACAACTGTTTCAAACATTGATAATAAATCAGCATATTAGAATGATTTCTGAAGGATCATGTGACGCTGAAGACAGGAGTAATGATGCTGAAAATTCAGCATTGCTTCACAGGAATAAATTATATTTTAAGGTATATTAAAATAGAAAACTGTTATTTTAAATTTCAATAATATTTCACAAAAGTACTGTTTTTTCTGTATTTTTGATCAAATAGATATAGATATATTAAAATTCTTTAACAAAAATTAAAAATCTTCCTGATCCCAAACTTCTGAACAGCAGTATAATTTTATATTTTTGCATTACATTCTATATTGTACATTTATAAATAAAAAAACACATATTTTGTGATGTTTGCTTTAAAAGAGCAATTTTATTTCTTATTATATTACTTTGTTACTATTTTTTTTATATAAATGCAGACTTGATGTGCATGAGACAATTCAAAACTATGAAAAACTTACCAACCCTAAACTTTTAAATGGTAGTGTACAATCATATGTTTATATGTTGCTGTAACGTCCAAATGTATAGCAACTGTACATTTGTTTTATTGATCTATTGTATTACTCTGATATTTGTGCTTCTGTTTTAGAAAATTACCCTCCTGTCCATGCCCACCCGCCCCCTCAAACGCACACCTACCGGCCTCTCTCTAGAAATACCTCAGACATGCCAGACGGTGCCGTCCACCGGGAGCTCTTGCCATCTCCCGTGCCCCCTCCACCCCCTCCGATGCCCTCTCTCCTCCAGCTCCGCTCACGAGACATGGACAGAGAGAAAGAGTTCTCACACGACCCGTAAGACACCTGACCTCATGAGCTACACTGTAAAAAGAACAATGATTATTAGAGTGCATTTTGCAAGAAAATACTATACCTCAAAATTGCACGTTTAATTCAAGGGGTTAATTGCCATTTCTCTGTAATTGTTTGTGAAATTTCTGCTTGAAAATTGTTTAAAAGTAAATACTGCTGCGCCACATATTTTTCAGTGTACAGGCTTCTGTTTTAAAACATCTGATTGGTTAAAAACAACTCTGATTGGTTCTTATTCTTATTCTCATCTACAGAAATGAGTGGGATCCTCCAGATCGAAAAGTGGACACACGTAAATACCGAGCGGAACCACGGAGCATCTTTGAATATGAGCCTGGCAAATCCTCCATCCTTGAGCAAGAAAGGCCTGTGAGTAATCTTATTTAATTAAATCATTGTATCTAAGTGATTATTATTCATAAATTTAGTTTAAACGGGTGTAAAAATCCTCACATAACATGGACCCAAGTTTGCAACGGTCTAAATGCAATCCTGTTGTGTTCTCTTGAGTAATTCAGTTCTGTTCCAGTCTGTTTAATAAAAAAATCAAACATACAGGGTCAGGCTTAGACATTGTCCTGGATTAAATTGCTCTGTCAGCAGAGACTTTTGAAAATGTTTAGCTCTATGTAAAGCCAAATTTGTGTCCCAGAAACTGTAAAAAGTTTTGAAGAAGTAGCTCACCAAAAATTATTTACTCACCCTCATGTTGTTCCAGACCTGTATGATTTTCTTTCTTTTTTTTTTGTGGAACACAAACACATACATTCAAATATGACGCATCACACCAGGTTTTTACTGTGGTTTACACGATGTTACTGGTTCTCACATGTTTCTCATTGATGTCATTCATATCTGCAGTGCCATATTTTCAGTAAATAATGACAAAGTGTGGTCTGTTTCTCATTTTTGTGCTCCTCTGTTTGTTGTATGTACACAGAACCATTCAAATGTATGTGTCAGTAAGATTTTTTTTTTAATAAATTAGTACTTTTATTCAGCAAGCAGTTAAATTAATCATAAATGACAGTAAAGATATTGATAGTTACAAAGATTTCTGTTTCAAATATGAATCACGGTTTTCACAGAAATATTAAGCAGCAACTGTTCATCATTAATAATTAGAAAAAGAAAAGTTGATTTCTGTTTGATCATATGGCACTGAATACTGGAGTAATGGCTGCTTTGCCATCACAGGAATAAATTGCATTTTAAAACACATTAAAATAGAAGACAGTTACTTTATATTGTGGTAATATTTCACAGTGCTATTGTTTTAAATGTCTTTCAAAAAATCTTACTGACCCCAAACTTTCAAACAGCAATGTACGGTAATTACCTTGCCATCCAGTCTTATGAAAACTCTCAATTTCATTGTAGCCTGTACAGCTATTTGAGTACCGCTTTATTAAGGTGTTGCAGGCCTAACTTACTGTTTACTACAGTGTAAAACTGCAATTTTCCAGCCTGCTGATTGGACATGTGTTAAGGCTGTGTTTTTCTTCTGTTTCATTTGTCGTTTGACCAAATAATGAACCATCAGTCATGAGTTTGCTTTATCATGAGTCATGTGGTGCTGCAGCAAGCTTTCTTTTCCTTTGTGTATTAGGTAAAATATTGGTAAAGGTTTGCACTAAAATCAGTCTATTAGAGTCATTGTGCTGTGGTCATGATGGGGACAATGCAGTTTAGAATTTTGCCAGCAATACAGTATGTCCCAATCGTCCCCTAATAATGTCTCATTCTACTGTGTTTGTCTAATAAAGCAAGACAAATGAAATGCCTCAATAGAGGAATTCCCTCAGTGTTTTATGTCTCCTTTGAAAGCAGTTGAACTTTTGTTTTGCATTGCAGATGTAAAATACTGGAAGGGTGTCAGACAAAGCGGTGCAGTGGCTCGGTTTAGGGAACAATGAGATAGAAATGTCAGGAGGCTGAATCGTTGCACTGCCCTCAGCACAAACACAGTGGATGTGGCAGTAGGAGATGTCCCAGGTGGCAAAATGAGTGGGCAGCATGTACAGTCATAGCTTGAGGAAGCGAGAGAGACTTTAGAGAGAAGATGGGAAGAAGCACAATGTCTCCCCCTTTTGGACAGTACTGAGAGTCACACTCATATCAAAGGGATAGTCCACACAAAAATGAAACTTCTACTCACCCTCATGTCATTTCAAACTTGTATGACTTTCTTTCTTCTGCTGAACACAAAATAAGATATTTTAAAGAATGTTGATAATCAAACAGCTTTCAGTTTTCATCCAAGTCAATGGGTACCAAAACTGTTTGGTTAACAACATTCTTCAAAATATCTTCTTTCTTGCATAGAAAACAAAATATTTGGAAGAAATGTGGTAACCAAACAGTTTAAGTTCCCATTGATTTCCAGTGTATTTTTAGTCCATACCTTGGAGGTCAATGGGACCTGAAACTGTTTGGTTACAAACATTTTTCAAAATATCTTCTTTTATGTACCAGGTTTTGAATTATATGAGACTGTTTTTTGGGGGGGTTTTTTTGGGCGGACTCTTTTTAAGTCTTATTAATTGTTATGATTTGTCATTACATATTTTGTGTGTGTGTGTGTGTGAGAGAGAGAGTGTTGATGTCCCACAACATCATCCTCCTCTGTTCTTTGCTCACCAGTCCTTGCAGCATATTTTGGTCCTCCTAACCCTAATTTCCATCTCTCTTTTCCTTTCATTGTTTTTCCTCTTTCCCTTACCTCTCTTTTTCTATGTTGCTTCTTGCTCCAGATGTTTGATTTAAACCCAGATGACATAGATTTAGAGAATGAGCCTTGGTTTAAATTCTTTTCCGAGTTGGAGTTTGGACGCCCGGTAAGTTTAGTGAGGGCGCGGCAGGTTGGCATGCTTTAGGCTGTAACCTCCTTGTCCGGTACACACATGCTGTTGTGTAATGACAAGCTGTGTGTGTGTGTGTGTGGTTTTTTAAATACAAGTTCTGACTTGTTCAGAACTTGGTGTTATTTGCACACTGAAAACAGAAAAAAGACATTTAACATCACCACAATAACAATGCTAGAAGCAGCGGGTGAGGCATCAGACACATATGAATTGTCTGATGTTAAATCCCAAGGCATGATTAATAATCATGCTCTGTTTTCAAAACTCTCACCAAAAGAGCAACATTATCTGTACTTGTGCTCTATTTATGGGGTACAATGTTGTCTTTAGAAGAATGTCATTGGTTTTTAACACTGTGTTTTCGCTTTGGCTCTGTTTGCAGTATCACACACCTGTTCTTACAAGCTTAAAGCTCTTACAGCTGCAGAACCTGTGCAGAAAACACTATCAAGTCAAGTGTAACTCTTTTTTATTAAAAATGAAAAGACTTTGGATAATACAGTGGCCCTAAAAAGGATTTGGACACTTAATCCATGCATCCAACATATAAACATCGCTCTTTCAAGCTGAACATTTTCACATCAAGAAGTTCTAAATACTAAAAGAATAGATAAACTGTACAAAATTGTAAAAAAAAAAACTTTCTGGTTGCCAAATTAGTTCAGCATGTATTCTACTACTAGAATGTAACCAAATATTAATGATTGGGTGACCAAAAGTAAAATAATAGTTCACTTAAAAATGCACTCCAATGTATGAGTGCTATTATAATTATTATTTATTTATTTTGGTCACTTATGCTCACCAAAGCTACATTTATTTGATCAGAAATACAGTAAAAACAGTAATATTATTTAGTGTGTGTAATATTTTTACAATTTAAATGTTTGCTATTTTAATACATTTTATAATGTAATTTATTTCTGTGATGGCATAGCTGAATTTTCAGCAGCCATTACTCCAGTCTTCAGTGTCGCATGATTATTTAATGAATAGAAAGTTCAAAAGAACGGCATTTATTTGAAATAATAAACTTTTGTAACATTATGAATGTCTTTAGTGTCACTAATGAAAGTAATATGATTATTATTATTATTACTTTTCTAAACCTTACTGACCCCAAACAAAGTGTAAGTGATTCATGAAAAGGCAGTAAATTGTTAATATAGATAGAAAAACTATCAATGCTGATAACTTCTCACAAGATTCTCATCATTTCCTGTTTCCTTTTGCATTTAACATTGTATTATTAGCAATTAGCATTGTGCGCCATATTACTGTAACGTATTTTTAAAAAATCATATTGACCCCAGACTTTTTAATGTTGCCAATATCCCCTAAAATTATATTGGGTGACTGAGAGGAGAGTAATTTGTTCCAAAGTCAGAAATTCTTATTTTATTTAATCTAATGCAATAAAATTCATAAAAATGTATATATTTTGTAGGCCACTGTATGTTCATAAATGAGATATTTATGCACAGTTCCTCCAGCTTTTATAAACACACACTTCCTGGCTTGTTTACTGATTGAGTTTGCTGCTACCATGTGTAAACAAGCAACATTTGTGTGAAACCTTTATGTAGTTTCATCATTGTGTGTATTATATGTACACACAAGCAGCAGTGTGTGTGTGTGTGTGTGAAGTAGGTGAAGCATGTGTGGGCACTTACTTTCAACACACCGAGGTTCACTGTATTCACCCTTCGTTTGTTTGTACACTGTGTGTGTTTTGTGTGATCTCTGTTTCTTCATGCCCTAACGTTGTCACTCTCTCCACATGTGTCTTTTTACCATGATGCACCTGCTTCTCCACCTCATCTTCACCTCTTCACCTCTGTGCTGTTCGTTTGTTCGGGTGGTGGGGCATCCAGCCTCCTAAAAAGAGGTTGGATTATAATCCTGACTACTCCACACATGCTGTGGCACAGGTAAATCTACCTTCATGTCCATCCATCCGTCTTTCCTTTGCTGTTTGTTTGCTCTATATCTCCATCTTTCTCTATTGCTATTGCTTTTTCTCCTGCCCCATCATTTATTTAACAGACAGCAAATGCAAAAAATTGACCCATATACGGAAAAAAAATTTTTTTTAGTTTATTAGAGTACACTGTACTCTGTTGAGTGAAAATTGTTTCTACACCAAAATTTTTTTTTCAGTGACAAGAAAATACTATTTCAGTGTTTCTGTTTTTTGTAGTTGTTGCCCTAGTGAAAAAGAAATATACTTAAATGTATTTGAAATACATTTATTTCATGCTAAGTATACTACAAATGCATTTTCATATTTATGTACTTAATAAAATTATTATACTAAACTGGTATACTTAAATTCTGCTAAATTGGAGCAACTAATTTAGTACTTAATGCATTTCAGTTGTGTAGAAGTAGTGCTGAAGTACAATTAAAAATATATACTTAGTACATTTTACTGTGCTAAAGTGGAACTATTACAAGTATACTTCAGGTATACTTTAAATATTTTGCATTTAAAGTCCGATATTATTCAAAGATCATACAATCCTCATCAAAAGTGACATTAAAACACATTTTAGACTGACTATTAAGAAAAGTGCATTGTGCACAAGTAGTATGCCAAGTAAAGTTTAATGATAATTTTTATATCAGTAAGTCTCGAGTTATCTGTTAGTAAATAAGTTAATAGATTTGAAATATACTTGTGAAATATATTTATGAAATAAATGTATTTTAAATATATTACTTTTTTTACTAGGGTATCTTTACTAGAAATCTGTGAGTTAAAAGGTTCAAGATAAAATCTACGCTGCATGTGTACATTTTAATGTAAACTAAACAAGCTCTCTTTTTAATAAAACAAATACAAAACTAAATATGAAACAATTAGTTTACATAATAAAAGTCACTTTACTTGAGCTTTCCTGCAATGACACTACTGAAAAATATAGCTAAATAATGAACACCCACCAATGCTTTTTCATAACTGCTTTTTTTTATCAGATTGTTCTTTTGTATATTTTATTTTGCTGTCAGATTTACTTCCTCTGCTATTTATGTTTTTCATTTTAAAGGGATAGTTTATCCAAAAATTCAAATGCTGTCATCATTTGCTCACCCTCATGTCATTCCAAACCTGTATGACTTGATCTTTCTAGCAAAACACAAAAGAAGATATTTTGAAACATGCTGTTAAACACTGGTTCGACTTCGGTTTGACTTCCATTGTATAGACATCGAGACATTTCTTAGAATATACTAATTTATGTTTCACATAAAAAATAAAATCATACAGGTTTGGAATGACATGAGGATACGTAAATGATGATAGAATTTTCAGGTTGTTTTTCTCTTACAGTTTTCCTCTGATGAATGAATGTGTTTATGTGCATGTTTGTGTTGTGAGTTTTTTTATAGGTTTGTTGTTTGAGAAGAGTCACATGCTCACAGGTACTACTGAAATGCATTCTCTCCTGTGCCTGTGAATTGGCTTTTTATTTATCTTCTTATTTGACCTAGGATCAGCATCGGTGTGTTAAAAATGCTGTGTTGTCAGTAAGTGATGTCCTTTCTTTTCTCTGATCCAAGTCGCATGGATAAGCCAGAATGAACACCAGAGACTGCTGTATTGTGCTCAGATTTGTTCAAATTCACCCCAGGCTGTGTTAAAGGAAAGGAGGCGTGGCGATCCTGGACAACATAATAGACAGGGCTTCTTGTGACCTGCTGCCACGTGCAGCCTTTCTGGATCTGTACTGTTTTGTTCTCTGGCCTTTGTTGGGCTCCGCTTACTGTGGGGCCCTGGCACTTTTTTATTCTTACAGGAGGTCAAAGTTCATTTTCATAGTCCTTCAAGGTGGGATTGAGAGATGTGGAACCCTCGTCGGTCACGGCTGTCTTTGCGCATGCGGGGGGGGAGGAGGTTTTGATTGTAGCGCAGCACGGGAGTGTTACACTTCTTTGTTCCCATGGATCTCACACTTCTCTTTTGTTGTCTGCTCTCTTTCAGTCATCCCTCTATCTCTCACCTTCCGAACGACCTGACGGGACTTCAAGGTAAGCTTCCCTTTCATTCTTATAGCTTTTATAGGTGAGCTTTTCTCACTCAGGCTCTTTAATTTCTCCGAGAGATGCCTGTTGGATATCCATTGGAGGACAGAACCTGAGCATCCTCAGTCTAATTTAATTTACTCAGGTCTTAAAAGCTCTGCCACTGTTTATTTTTTTGCTGTATATATATATATATATATATATATATATATATATATATATATATATATATATATATATATATGTATTTGACATCCCATACTGTTGTGTGTTGTGTGTCATATTTAGGACTATTTAATGGGTAGAAGATCCTGTATTCAGAGTCTCATTGTCAATATACGTAAAAGGGTTTATTGTCCACTAGCTGAATCATTTTGGGTGATGTTTCCATTTTCAAAAATGGCATAAATAGCTTAATCATTTGTATTATAAAATTATACAGCTAGTCCCTTAATTATGTATTTTAAAATGCTCCATCAAAATATTCAGTAATTCTATAAAACTTTAAAGTCATTAATAATGTTTTCCTTTGGTTATTTTATTTCATTATTGATCTGGGATTTTTGGGGATTCTTAGTTCTGCAAGTGACTACAGGAAAAGGCGAAAGTCGGAACCATCTGTCACTCAAGCCAACACAGGAAGTGAGCAGAATGCCAGTCAAGTATTTTCCCGCCCACTGGACTCCAATAAAGCACAGACACTGACGAAGCCCACCATACGTTCCTCGCCCTCCTCACCATCCAGACCCAAAGGTAAATTCAGACACACTCAAACTCGAACAGAAGGTGCTAGACTGATCAAATCTTGTTGAAGACATTTAGATTATGCATTATTGTCTAATGACATGTTACAATAGAACTCCATTATTTTGTGCAGAGGAACTGTTTGATGGATTTGTTCTGTCACCATTCTACCTGTATGTTTAGTTTGATTTGTGCCAGAAACCGAAAAGACGCACTTCTCTTGTTCTATCATTAGATCATCACATTTGTGGTTATACCTGAGTAAAATTTTTGTTGAAGATCGTAACTGCGTGAGACTGCATATTCTCCTCTGTCTATCTTAACTATACTGACACATTCTCACTAACTGTCACTTTTACTGATATGTTTTCTCTCGCTTCGTCATTTTCTGTCAGCTGAGCTCACTAACCAGCTTTCCTGTCTCCTCTTTGTCATGCTGCATTGGATGTTATTTTAATTCACAGCTGGAGACGCTAGTGAGTCGCTCTCCTCCTGTATGAGCTCTCCAGGTATGGAGCGCCCTTCCTCTCGTCTCTCCTCAGACTCCCTCACTATCTCCACACCAACCTGGCGTGGCTCCAAGCGCTCCATCTGCTTCAAGAACGGTTGGCAGACAGGCCGACATGAAGCTGCAGAGACTTGGAGTAGCGTTGACGATGAATCTGTCATCACTCCTTCATCACCACGGCTCAAATCACGCAGCTGTGATGATCTGTTGTCTGACGGACATGGTGCTAATAATGACGGGAGAGCGTCCACTTCTGTGACTACCACTCGCTCTGAAAGTGCAGGTTCATTGCTTGATGAAGACGCTCCACAGAAGCCTCAAGTAAAAAGTCTTACCTCATCTCCCAGGGGGCGCCGACATCACCGGCGTAAGATGCCACACGATGCTCCGGGTTTCCTTCAGCTCTACAAGAAAATGCACCACATAGACCGAGAGCAGCTATTGCCCTCAGAGGTGATTCGTTCTGTACGTGCACGAATCCTTGAGCTGGAACGGCTGCAACAACAACAGAGGCACAACCTCCATGGTTGGGCAACTTTCGGTAATGAGGTACCACGACACATGGTCCCAAACCGTATATCGGTATATGAACAGCTCATCCAGAAATCCAAGTCCATGCCAGACCTTGGTGATGAAAATGCCCCATCAGGCACCACCACACCAGGGTCCTCGAGAGCCAGCAGCTGTCCCAAACGACGCTTTTCTGTGGAATCACTTTTGGAGGAGGAAGATCCTCCAGAAAGGGCTCGAAGTCCCCCTGAGGGACAGCCAAGACCGGGACCAGACAGCAGTAGCCTGGTGCCAATTCATGGGAAGAACCAGAGGCAGCATCAAGACTACTCAGACAGTGAGCAGGACGCCTGTGCCTCCGAAATGAGTGACATCCACATAGAAGGGTCTTCACTGTGTAGCGAGAGCGACCTGGATCATTGCTCACTTACCTCATCGGAAAGCTTCTTTGGTTCTGGGCGACATCACCATCATGGTCACCATCATCATGGACACCGTTACCACCGCCACCATCACCTACACCAGAGTGTGGGTCAGAGTCAAGGTTACCAACACCGCCACCTCATCAGCTCCTGTAAGGGTCACTGCCCAGCATCCTATACACGATTCACCACCATGCTAAAACACGAGCGACAACAGGAAAGGGCTCGGCAGGAGTCCCACCCTGCCGTTACATCTCCACTAGCCCAACAGTCACCCAGTGAGTCAGGCCTTTCCAAACTGGCCTTTCTGGTCAGCCCTGTGCCTTTCCGCCGGAAACGAGGCTCCCCGCCGACCCAACGGCGACACTGCAGAAGCGGTCGGCCGAAATCCAAAACCGCAATTTATGAAGCTTTAGATGCCGCTTTGCAGGACATTTATGACCATATAAGGGCGGAAAGGGGGCAGGGACCAGCAAGGATGCCAGATGATAGCATATTACGGCGGTTATTGGAGGAGTTGCTACCAGACGTGCCCAAGCGTAGCTCCTCCTTGCGGGCTCAGAGAGGGTCTGGCTCCCCCTCCTCGCTCCATGTCCACCAGCCTTACCATGGAGCCCACCAATGTGCCTCCTACCAGCAGCAACACCACCATACAGACGCCTCCAACAACAACCAGCATAATGCTAATGCTAATGTGCACTGCTACTCAGGTGCAGCTAGTTCTCAAGAGTTTTCCTTTTGTTTCGAATCATTATTGCAAAATCCTCAAGTCATTACCTCAAGCATTCCCTACCGAAAGCATGCAAATGCTTTTACTTATTTTTTTACCTAAACAGGATGCTTTATTATCATAACACCTAGTGTCCAATTAGGTATTTGGAATATTTTACTATTTATATAATTATAGAGTATAGTATATTTAGATTGACTGACTTATTTTTTTTTTGACTTCCTGTGTTCTTATATTGAAACAGAAAGTTTGAACCATAAATAAAGAAGAAGTCAACTCGTTTTTTTGGGAAATTCTCATTCTAGAAAGTTTTTGATTGGACAAAAATCAGTTTTCAATATTTTTGTTCTTTTTAGAGTACATTAGTTTATAGTTAACTTTAATGCTAAAACAAAAGCTCTGATTATGAATACATGGAAGATTTTATTTCATTCAGTTTATTTATAATGGTACAAGTGGAAAAGAAGTATTAGCAGTTCATGGTGCAATAAATGTCTGTCCGGTATATGCATGATGTGTTTTACTGAGCTTAATTTTCCCTTTTGATTTTGTGCCCTTTCCATTGTTTTTTTTTTTTTGCTGATGTATGAAATACTGTTGTAAAGACACATATTTGCTTTCTTTGTGTGTACTGTATTTTGTATGTATTTTTTTCTATGGTTCTATGATGACTAATATTTAGGCCATTTTTTGGGTCAAGTGCATGCCATTTTATGTCATATTGTGTATATCCAGATCATCCCTTATTTTTTTAGTTTGACCCTAAATTTGAAATAAATAATTGTATAATTTTCAAGTAGTCTCATTTCCTTTTGACACCAGTGGAATGCATGTGGTGCCACTATGAACTCAATAGTTTTCTTTCTGTTGACATTTTCTCTGTTTCCACAGATCAGGGCTCTGATACAGGACGTCTCACACCACAAATCAGAAGACCCACGCCAGAAAGAGAGGTAGAAATGCTGCTTTACTCATATCTATTTTTACATGAACTAGTTTTCATTTAATTAGAACAATGTTTTGAAACCCGCAGGGCAAACATCACTGATTAGTGAATAAGTATATGGCGATTTTAAATCCTGAACCCTTATTTGCGCTATGCCATAAATCCCATGACCCTGTAACCTTCGTTTTGGTTATGGTCTGTATATGGCTTGGCTGTGCATATGTTGGATAGCTGATGGTCTTTTTGCTTGCCTCGTAGGTATCCTCTAAGCAGATGACCTATCTTATATTGTCTTCTCTCCTCCATCAGAAACAGTCTGCCAGGGCTATTTATGATTTTAAAGCTCAGTCTGCCAAGTGAGTATATATAAAGAAATCTGAGAGACTCTGTCTGGCGCATTCGAATAACATCACAGCATCTCACTAAATTTGAATTCGCAAAGGGCTGTGTCAGCTTTTTGTTTGTGAAAGTGTGTTTAATTCTACTCTTGTCCATTTATTAAAAGCTTTTTCTTTCATTTTGTTTTTCATTTCCTTTGTGCAGATTTTGCTCTTGTGTTTCTTGCATACTAACTAGCTTTGTCAGATTGGTCTCTGCATCACCAATTCTGCACTGAGCTCAGTGTCATTGCATGAAATTGTCAGCTTGCATGAAAGTCCATGCTAATAAAGCCATTAAAGAATTTCAAGGCTCATGAATTTCAGCCTAAAATTTGCATATCACCAAATTCATTGGGTAATACATTAGAAAAAAGAAAAGGTACCACACATTGTTGTAACTTGCAGATATTTAATAAACAACGGTGTTTCCAATGCCAACTGAGGAAGAAATGTTCTTATTAAATAAAGATTTAAAAGCTACAACACTTTATATTATATTATATTATATTATATTATATTATATTATATTATATTATATTATATTATATTATATTATATTATATTATATTATATTATATTATATTATATTATATTATATTATATTATATTATATTATATTATATTATATTATATTATATTATATTATATTATATTATATTATATTATATTATATTATATTATATTATATTATATTATATTATATTATATTATATTATATTATATTATATTAT